TGTCTTTAACCCAGTCTCAGCAAGGACTTTTGCAGCCAGCTTGCTGGTGTCTTGCCCCTATGTAGGATGACAGATCAACTGCTGCCTAGGTCATTTAGCAGTAACTCACACTTTTCTCTCAGGAAGCCTTCTCCTGCCCCTTCCAGTCTCCCATGCCAGCCAAAATAATGGCTATTATGCTTTACACACACTTAAATAATGAAGATCTATTTAACAGACTGCTCAGCAGGACAACAATAAAGCATTGTTTGCCTGAAAATGGCTTAACTGTTTCCTCCTAAAGAAAATTGTCTTTTTCAGAGAACAAAGATAGACTCTCCTGACTACTTCAATAGCAAACCTGATACGAATATCAGCTGAGATCATCTAAGGCAGTCCAACTGCAGCTGGATATGGGCCACAAGATGATTCTCTTGGCCCGTTGCCTTTCTCCTGGGAAAGATAGGGAGCAGATGTTGGAGCAACACATAATAATTGAGCAGCTGGGAGTCTTCTTCCAAGCTTAGCAACCCAAGACAACATTTCATAGTGGGGCTTCTGGTTTTTGAGGTAGGACTGCCATAAATAATGGAAGTTTTGAGAGGACACAGCTGGGGGTTTGTTTATTTTGTTGTGGGTTTGTTTTTTTGGGGTTTGGTGGGAGGAGAAGAGGTTCTTTAAGTCTGCAGATGAACACGGATGCTTTTTTTGTGGGAAGAACAAACATTTTGCTGTGGAGGTTTCTTTGTCCTGATCTTGCCCTTTAGGATGAAGAAAAATAAGGCTTGCTGAGACACATCTGACTGAAAAATAGGTGTCTACATCTGATTTAGTTAGTCTTGCCTCCCTTTATCCTTCATGAAAATCTAGTCAGGCGTTTTATACTATGTAGATATATAAAGTCAGTGCAATGGATGACATCTTAACAGTGCCTCTTTCTCATTAATGTATAAATAAAGTGCACAGGCTGATTAGCTCAGCTGTACAATGTAAACACCTACATCTGTTTGTTCTCTTTTTCCCCCTTTGTATTTAGTGAGGTTTACTGAAGACTGTGAGGCGTGGCTGGAGAAGATGGCATAACTGGAGGAAAATGTGCAAAGGAAAGCTTTGAAAAGTCTACTTGATTCTTTGGACTGCTCCACGATGCTGGAATAAAACCAGAGCTGAATGCCTTCCCAATGTGCCTGTGCATGCTTTTCTCAAAGGAAGGCATCTATGCAGCCATGGGGTTGTTACTGTGCCAAGGGACTGGGGGCAGAGCTGTCTGGTCTAGTGCTTCTGCTGGGGAGCTGTGGTCCCTCAGGCTCTTGCACCTGGACTGAGAGCCAGGGGGACTACAATGTATGAGTAAGTAATTGGATTGGGAATTTTCACATTGGACAAGTAATGGATTCAGTTATGACCAAATTGGGTTTTTTTCTCCTTTGTTTAATTTGGAAGCTGGGAAAATGCAAGGAGTATTTGAAGTGAATTTATGTACTAAGGGAAGTGGAAGATGGAAGATGCAGAAAATGAAAGGGAAGTGGTAAAAGACAAGCAAAGGACTTCCACAATGGGAAGAGCAACTGCATCGGTATCCCAGGTGTTGTGAAATTTCAGGGTAATTAGAAGAACCTCATCAGCAGGCAGCTGCTCTTACAGCACAGGTGTTGAGAATTTGAGTAAGTACAGGGGCATTCAGCCTCAAGGTCGTGTCATGGGTCTGTGAGGCTTGAGAATGGCATGGTTGGCAGAAGCAAAAGCAATGTTGATACCAAGCCTCTCCATGGGCTGCCCTGGCAGAAGTCTCCTCTAGACCCACTATAGATATTCAGATTCCTTTAGCGACCATTTTCCAGGTCTGAAGAGCTTTCCCTTGAGTGCTACTCTCTGCAGAAGAAAGCAGTGCCTGGATGGTTTTGAGCACTTGGCTTGCAGGGGACGTGTGCCACCTTGCTCTTTTCCAAGATACAAGTCAAAGGAACCAGCTGGACAGCCCTTCCCTTCCCACCAACAATCTCAGCCCTCTCTGCAGCTCCACTCCACCGGTTCTCCAGCAACACAGAAGGATTGCAGGAGGGTGCAGATGCTGCTGTTCCTGTGCAGTCGATTCCCTCTGCTGTGGGAGGGGAGCAAATCCTTTCCACAAGCTCAGAGGACCCATCCTGGACACGGACCACCTGAGCATCTGCAAATACCATCCACAAAATACCGCTGCTCGGTGAAACTCCTGCTTCACTTCCCCTCCCTGCCAACTCCAGCTACTTTATTGCTTTTCTTTGCGATCAACTCTTCTGCAGCTCAGGGAGAAATTGTCTCCCTTCCACGCTCCTTTCTACTCCCCCCCCCTCCTTCCAGCAGCGATGCCGTCCTCCCTCCCATCACTGTGTTTGGCTGACCCTGTCACACTAATTAAACAAGAAATAAAATCTCTGGGACAGCAGAAACGGTGCTTAGGTGACAGGGAGAAGGAGTATTTGGGGGAGGTAGAAGGAGGAAAAGAGAAAAGCGGGGGGGAAAAAAAAATAAATGTTTGATTTAAGAAACTTAATTTGAATAAACCCCTCCTCCTGCTCATCCTCATTGGTTTCCTTCTCTTCCTCCATATTAATAAGACCAGCCAAGGAAAAGCTATTGGTTCCATGTCCCTTTTTCCTCTCCTCAGGCACTTGGGGGAGGGAGGTGTTTGCATTTCTCCGCAGGAGCAGCTCGCTTTGCAGAGCATTGTCTGGGTCTGAGAATCACACACACACACACACAGGGACAGAGATACAGGGGCGAGCACGCCAGAGCCTTGACTCGCCGGCAGAGCATCTGAACCGGCCCGAGCACCCTTCTCCTCCCCGGTCTTCTTCCCCCCTCCTCCTCCTCCACCCCCTACTTCCCGAGCACGAATAACCACCCCTAAAAAAAGAAAAAAA